TAGAAGTTTCAGATGTAGAATGTTTGTAACTTATATGGCAAGTTTCGTCTTGGATCTAGAAGGCAATATCTTCAACTTTCAAACTTGCTTTGTAAATTGCCCATTCTTAGAAATGGTGGAGATATTTTATACCATCTGAATAGTAATGAACAATATTGCTCAGTGATTTATAACTCTAAGAGCTTTATAATTTGATTTATGAACAGCTCTCAAATTTTCCATTGGCAGTTCATACAACTATGAGTAAATTTTCTGGCCAAATGACTCAGTATTTTGCCGCATGACTAATCCCACACTCAGTGTGGAAACTATATAAATGAATTCTATTTGCTTGTGGATAATAAATGATTACTTTCCAAAAACTGTCTGCAAAGCATTATATAGTAAATGAATTCAATTATATTGATGTTTTTAAGCTCCCAAACCCAGCTGACTTTTTTGAAAAGTCTGTAATGTTCACACACACAAAAAGAACGCCCCTCTCACCCCCCTGGAATTATCATGGCTTCTGCAGTTTTGGTAACCCGTAGAATAACAAAATCTAGGCTCTACAATAGCTAAAATGTTAAAAGAACAATCTGAAATAATTCCATTTGCAATATTTTCTCAGTATACTTTTAAGTTATTTTAAAAGTTTTTATTATGGTAAAATAAAGTCCTTTACCAGGGAATATTTGCTGAAAATAATATTTGATATTACTGCAAGTTACAATTATTTTCCTTTCAAAAATTCAAAATTTTTTTTTCCAAAAATTTTTTTTATCAAGAAGGATAAAAGAAAATAGTAATCTATCCATATGATGGTTTCCCTGGTTCTGGTGGCTGGAAATCACCTCCAAATTTATTTTAGATGAAGTAGGTTCTTCCAGATGATATAGCTCCTTTACCTTTTAATACAAGCACATGTAAAACACTTCACCTAGAAACAAGGAAGTTACCAGGCCAAAATTAGTATGCTTTATTTCTAAAAATTTATTGCTAGAGCCATTCTTACCTAAACTTCTTATTTTCAAGGGGGTAATATTTCAATGTAATGTCCTTGTGTGATTACCAACTGGGTAATTTACTCACTTCCATATAAATTGGTAATAATCACAGACAACCTAGGCTACATTCCAAGACATTTCTTATCTTTCCCTAAAAGTCATTATTCAAGTCTGAGTATTAGTAGCCAGATTTGATGGGAAAGAAACCCTGGGCATGGAGCCATCCTAACTAGTCAGGCTCAATTTTAACTCTGCAGAGTCCAAAGCAACCTGAGACTACAAAGACCAGTCTGTGGGGAGACTCAAGGTATTTTGAACAAATTACTAAATCACACAAATCCCCAGGAGAATGTCCTCTTCTCCCCTGTCTTTACTTATTTATCTCCCTCTTCTGGCTCCGTCTCCCAAATTCCCTAGAAACTTGTTCAAATATCCCTAGCCTGACAAAATAATCACCATTTGCCTTTATTCAGGATTTAATTGCTTTTCTACTCATCCCCTTTAGAGTTAAATTTCTGCAAAGATTGTAGACAACAACCCTCTCCTCTTTTTCATCTCTCATTCCCTCTTGAACTCATTAATGTCTGGTTTTAGCCTCTCCTGCCATGCTGAATCAGTTTTCTGAAAGGTTTCCAGAGGACTCCTAGTCACCAGTCCTCAGTCATTGCCCTTCTTAGCCTCCCATTTGTGCATCTGTTCCAGAGAGTCACTAAATTGGAACACTCCCTACTTGGCTTCGACCACTTTGCTATCCTCCAGTCCACAAATGGAAGCTGTCTCCAAAGTTCTGATTCTGAGATGCTCTTTAGCATCTATTCCTTAGTCATTTCCTCTATTTCCATTAATTTCCATTACTCCAACTACAATGTTGATGACTCCCTATCTGTTTTTGGTTCTGACCTCTCCACATTTCCATGTGCTTGCTGGATATTTTCACACTGCTGTCCTTCTGACGCTTCCAACTCAGTGGGTCTAAAACACAGTTTTTTATCTTCTCCTTCCAAATTATTCCTCTACCCTAGCTCGAAACCTGAGTTATCTTCAGTTCTTCCCTTTTTCTCAACTGGTTGCTACATAGCTTAGGGTGGAAACTTTTCTTCCTTCTGATGTTTCTTCCTGATCCATACATTAGGAACTTGTGCCACAACTTTCTGCCTCTAGGAAAGTACTGAGAAAGATGTTTCTGCCACCTTATTAAAGCACCTTACTCACTGTTAACTTTCAGGAATGAAAAGAGTTAGTAATGGAAAAACTCAAGAGGGCCTACTAGCCTTTAGTGGGCAGGAGTGATGTATAAAATTCCCTTCTCACACATGGGCCTGTCTCTTGCTCACACATGCTGAGTGCCTTATGGAAGTGTCAGGCTTCCCTTTGCCTTTGGTGTTTATCCCAGAATTTGAACAGGTTGGGTTCCTTCCTGCCCTAATGTTGGGGAGGTCTGTCATTTTTCAGCTGTGACTGGGTGGGCATGCTGAGTGAGGAAAAAGGAATAAGATGCCCCATTTTGGCCTTGAGGCTAAGCTGTCTTCTTCAATCTGACTTTATCTTGAATAGAGTTAACACAATATTTTAATTTCCTTATGGCTCCTTGTGTCTATTCCCAATTTGGTTGAGACTCTAAAGGGAAGAAAGGCTGTATAATGGACCATCTTCTACATATGTGATATCCAACTCTCTTAGCTATCTTTCCCAACTTCTTTGTTTTCTTTTGGGTGACAATGATAACTTACTCTCATAAATAAGTCAACAAATTATACATACTTTTCCATTATAAATTTTCATTTTTTTGTATGAAAGATTTGGCCATGGCTCTCCCCCTCCATCCCTACCCTCAAACTTAACAATTCTTTTTGTGTGTGTGACTTTTATACAATGTCAATTATTCTTTTTTTTAAGCAAAAACCTACCAGGAAGGCAAGGTATAATTTCTACTAAATTAACTTCCAAAAAGCACTGCTTGGCTGATTTAGTATTTATTGAATTCCACAATGCGTTAGGCACCACATAAACACACAGAAAGAAGCAATTAATAATATGTATGCTATTATTTGGAAAAAATGATAAATTAGCAACAAACAAATCAGAAAATAACAATGGAACTAAATATTAAATTATTTCAAGGATTTGGTTTATTATTAGCATCTTTAAGACAACTGATGGAAAGAACAGAAATGAATGCATCTAAAAAGAAGTATCTGTAATCCTATTGCATGGCAGTTAAGCATTTGCCTGCCAAGAGAGATAAATGATGTTCTTGTGTGCACTTGAAACTTATAAATGGCTGCAGCAAGACGCAGGATGATAACAATTGTGCTAAAGGAATAGTTCAGAAAACCATAATAGCGATTTAGTTGCTTTTTGTTGTTAAAAAATATAGCGTTTGGGGCAATTTGAATACTATGCTGTGTCTGTGTCTTTGACATGTTTCTGTTCAAGTATATGTAGGCTATTTCAGCTCACTTACAAATTTCAGTCAATGAGAAGCATAAAGATGACCTTCCAAAATTCTGTTAGTTATTTCCCCCAATGTCTGCACACGATTAGTTCAGTTTTGTTGTTTAAAATTACTCCACCATGCCATTGTTGAGTCAATGCGGTGGAGAATTCTTCCTTTCCTGATGTGCCACACATTGCAAGCTCTCAGGATTTTCTTCAACAACCTCTGCATAATTGTTGAATATAGTTTCCCACTGCAGTGGGCTGCGGTATCAGGAAACCTTTAGCCATATGTACATGATGTAGTGCTACCTGTCACCCCCTCTGAGTGCTAGAGACCCATGAAGCCTATCCTGGAATGCAGTGCAGCCTACATGCTGCCATTCAAAATTCCCACCTTACCCAGTGTCTCCAAGCAAGGTCCCTTCTGAGTTCAATCCAAAACAACTGAATGAATGAGATGCAACATGTCAACAATTCGAATGTTTATTTTGTTTTAGGAAACCAGCTGTAAACAAAACGTATCTGTTGTTTTCCATGTTTATGAATCTGGCACTAAGAGACTGCATTAAGCAATGCCTTTTTAGGTTTAATACTTACACACGGTAATGTGTTACTGGCCTTAAGGACATCAATGATTAAGCTTTTACGCAGAGCTGTACGGTTTTGTATAGTTGGAAAACAACATGATTTTGAGATCACTACAAGCAAATAAAACTTTTATTCCTCCCAATTATTTACCTGCTTTTCAAAATTTTATAAATTTTTATGATACAATTTCTTCAGTCTATTAGGTATTCCAAAAAAGAGGCTAATATAGTCGTTATAAGAAACTCCACAAATGCAGTCAAGTGTTACCTTTTCACTATAAAGTTTTCTTATGCGAGTAAATGAAACAAACAATCCAGCCCCACACAGGGAAAGCCAGCATTGCCTTGGGGGCAGCAGAACGCGGCACAGCACCGCCCGCCAAGGCCGCAAGATGCCGCAGACTGACTGCTGCAGCAGTCGCTTCCTGGCCAGCTGGCCGTGGCCGTCCGCAGAAAGGCACACTGCAGCGCTCTTGCCATACCTTCCGCGCTGGCATTGCATCAGTGTTAAATCCCCTGGCCACCAACTGCCATATACTTTTTGCTGGTTATGAAGAAACGTGGGGAGGGGACAAAAGGGAGACAGTGTGCCTGCAAGTGTGAGAGATCACTATTGCCTCACACTCCCTAAAAAATTTCTCCCCCAAATATTTATAAGCCAAGTCCCAACTTACTTCATCTGTCAGGTCCCTAAATCTGAAATCCCCTCGCCCTTCAAATGCACTAAATGAGTCAGGGTTTTTAGGGCAAACCCAGGGATACAAGAAGATCGAAAGTGCCTAATTCTTAGCTGCCAAATAAGTACCAAGTTTGGGGTGGAAGAGTTCACCTCTGCAGACCAGAGCGTACTACCCCCGGAGCGCTCCTAGTTTAGAGAGGCTTGGAGAGGAGAGGGCCTCCCGTTCCTGGAGTATCCCAATTCCCAGGGAAGGCCCTTCCCAGCGCTCGCGCTTCAGCGTGCGAGGAACCCCCACAAGCAATAGCTCACCCGACTGCATCCTTCAAAGCCCCAACCTCGGGGCGGGGCGCAGGGAGGTGGGAGGTGAGGGGTAGCACCGCCGGGAGGCTCCTGTCAGCGCCTCACGGTTTTCCCCCTGGCTCCTTGGCGCCCCCTGACGATGGGCTCCGCAGCAATTTGGCCAAGGGAGGCTGGATAGGCGGAAGCGCCGGGTGTCCGGGACGCTAGAGGCTCCCGGTCAATGCACCTGAGGACCGCGCGGACTGGCGGGCGGCCCCGCGGGAGGGCGCTGGGCTCTCAGGCCCGGGCGCAGCCCGCGGCCGCCGCCGAAACCGCCGCAGCCATGTCCGCGCGCCCGCGCTGCCGCAGCCCGGCTGTGATGTCATCAGCCGAGCCCCCGCCGCGGCGCCCCATTCCCGCCCCCAGCAGGCTGCCGCGGCTGCAGCCCGGGCGCCGCGTCCCCGCCCCGACCCACGTGCGCCCGGCTTCTGGGATGCTGAGGTCGGCTGCGGCCGCAGGACGATGCGCGGAGCCCGGGCGGTCGCGGCGGCGGCGCTGCTCCTCCCCACTCGCCGCGTCCCCGGCGGGGCTGCGCCCGGGGGCTGCGCACGGACGGGGGCGGGGGCGCCTGGGGAGGGAGGGGAGAGGATCCCAGTCGCCGAGTCGCAGCCTAGTCGCTGTCTGCTGAGTCATGGCAAGCGCTCCCCGCAGCCCTGGATCACTCGCGTAGCGCGGCTGGCGCGGGGTGCGCAGCCATTGGGCTGGGCGCGGGGCCGCGAGCGCCGGGCATGACGCGCTGAGCCGCGCTCACCCGTGCCCGCCGTCCCGGCGTGCGCCCCGCGCGGGTGCCTGTGCCGCCGCCCTCCAGCCCCGCCGTCGAGTCGCCCCCGCGTCGCCCGCACCATGATCGCCGCGGCTTTCCTCGTCTTGCTGAGACCCTACAGCATCCAATGTGCCCTCTTCCTCTTGTTGCTTCTGCTGGGCACCATCGCCACCATCGTCTTCTTCTGCTGCTGGCACCGCAAGCTCCAGAAAGGGAGGCATCCGATGAAATCGGTCTTCTCGGGTCGTTCGAGAAGCCGAGGTAAGACACGCCGCGACGGGTTTCTGCGGCTACCAGGAACATTTAAGCCGATTTGGAGAGTGAAGCGCGGCTCCCTCAGTTCTCCTCGGCTGCCCCTAGCCCCATCATTGCCCACTCCCCAGGCTGAGTACGTTTCTTTATTTAACGCCCCTTGCCCTTTTTGCCCTCACCTCCGCCCTCCAGTCTCCCAGGTTTGAATAACCACGGCGATGCAGAGGGCAGGGAGGGGAGAAACGAACTCAAATTTTCAGTCAGTTTGCTAAAGCGTTAAGGGTAATTTGAGCGTAGTCCGGGGCTGCGGCAGCCTTGCCTTCACCCGTCCTTCGCTGGAGCGTAGGGGTAAGAAAGTAAGGCATGGAAAGTTCGGGACTCCCCAACTCCCCCAGAACTTTCATGCAAACTTCTTGCGGAGAAATCACCTAGAGACCGATGGCCCCAGGACTCCTCCTCCCTCCCCCAGGATGTCCCACCGAATTCCAGGCGTCTGAGATATGCTTTCCCGACCCTGGTCTCCCAGGTAAGTCATGAATCACTTACGTGAAGAACAAGGAGTTAAATGAAGTCTCATTTCTCTTTTCTCCCCAGATGCTGTTTTGAGATCGCACCACTTTCGTTCTGAGGTAATTTATTTAGCGCGCACGCTCAAGGTCAGAAGAAGTTCTCTTTCCTGAGTACCAATATTAATTATATGCGTGTTAAGAAACCAGTAGGACACTGAATGACGAGCATGCTGTCCCCTAGCCGAAAGTGGCATGTTTCTTTTTAAGCGATTCCATATTAGTGCCCAGCGAACGGTTTTAGCAAATTTGTGTAGTGGAGCCGTTGTACAAGAGGGGAAAAGGCAAACCCTAAAAGTGCTGCAGACCTTAAAAAACTTAGCCACAGGGTGGATGTCACTTGAGTTTACAGTTTGTATTTTGCTGGTGGAAGTGTTTTCTGGGTGCTCTCAGTTGATTCTGGTTGTTCACTGGGATAAACGAAGAGGTTAGTGCAGAACAGTTTGATCTATATGCATTTCAATTTCGATTTTCAAGTTTACATTTCTGTTCTCTCATAAAGCTCTCCATGTTTTAATGGGGACTATCTGATGATGTTTGCAAAGCGATGACGGTAGTGTGTGCTTAAATTAAATGCTCGTGCTAGTCTCTACTCCCGAAACGTGGACCATCCCTCTAGGGCAATTAACTCCTAATCACTGCACCCAGGAACCAGCTCCACTGAAGAAAGGCAAGCTCTCCCTGACCTAGGATTTCTTTAGGAGTTTTCAGGCCAACCTCCACTTATCCTAAAATAATTTCCCCTCTTTTTAGGAAAGTTACACGCCGCCAGGCTTGGAAGTTGCTGCTTGGTGCAGTTTACTCATGTCGGCAAAGACTTCATAGTTAAACGCCCTCCATTTACCTGCAGTTATCTTACCTTTCATTTCATTAATTAGATATTTTATGCCACCCTAGATGTTTTATTGGGTTCTAGTTGCTTAAAAACTTTAACTGTATTATTGCAATATCATTAAAATGTTGCATAAAGAGTAATTCTACTGCATATAGCCCTGGAGGGTGAGAACTCTATTCAATTTAGGATTCTTGAGAGGATAAGTTAACCAGTCAGGTAATCAGAGGTTCCATTCCTGGCTTTACATTAACTAGCTGTGTGATATGTCTCGGTGCCTCGGTTTACCCATCTGTAAGATAGAGCCATTAGTACCTTGCAGGGTTATAGGAAGGTGGAGGAAATTACAATAAACTGTGTAAAGAAGAATCCCACTTAGCTCATAATAAGTATTCAGTATTTGGTAGCTATCATTATATTTTGTAAAATTGAATTTTAAAGTGTATAAAAATAAATGATAATGTTTGCAAATTTTCAAGTCTTTATTAAATTAATTAATTCAAGTTTATGGAAAACATAAAAAACCGGGACTATTATAAAGCAACAGTTTTCGAATGTGAGATTAATTCAACAGAACAGCCCATTCAGATGTGATGAGAAGTAAATAATTGACAGAGTGCAAACACCAAAATACAGGATTTTGATTTTAAAAGGAGATAACCAGTTCCACACACATAAATGATAGAACCAGAATAATAATCCTGTTATGGATTATTATGCTAGCCATCAGATATTTCAGCTAAAGCACAAACGAAAAATGAGATACAACTATGTCTTGTTTAGTTATCTCTCAGTTGAATGTTTTTGTTCTGAGCTTGCATTTGGTTAGGAAAGCTGGGGGTAGTTATTTAATGCCTTAACTCACTTCATAAGATTTCTGCCGGGCGCGGTGGCTCACGCCTGTAATCCCAGCACTTTGGGAGGCCGAGGCAGGCGGATCACAAGGTCAGGAGATCGAGACCGCAGTGAAACCCCGTCTCTACTAAAAATACAAAAAATTAGCCGGGCGTGGTGGCGGGCGCCTGTAGTCCCAGCTACTCAGGAGGCTGAGGCAGGAGAATGGCGTGAACCCGGGAGGCGGAGCTTGCAGTGAGCTGAGATCAGGCCACCGCACTCCAGCCTGGGCGACAGAGCGAGACTCCATCTCAAAAAAAAAAAAAAAAAAAAAAAAAAGATTTCTGGTACAGTTTGACATCTTTGTGTGATATTTGCCTTGTTTACTAGACTGTGAGCTCTTTGAGGGCAGGACCATATATTTCTTGTTTAGGGCTGTATCCCCACTATTTGGCTCAGTGCCTTGTATATAGTAGGTTATTAATAAATATTTATTGAATGAATGGATGAAAAAAAATATCCTAGTGAGTGCTGGTTCCTGAAACTGGGCAAATAGAACTCAGAGTTGGGCGGAAAAGAAAAAATGCACATTCTCAGGACATTGCTCAGAATTCAGCATTTGCTAAATCTCAACTCTTACTGGATCTTTCCAGCCTTTTAAAAATTGCCCTGGAGTTTGTGCTAAAAATGTAAGTCACAAATTGAAACAAAAGGGATTTGGTTTGATTTTTGTTTCTGAAAAATTTAAATGCATTATTAGTTTAATTTGTTTATGGGCTACCCATTGGCAAGCTGTTTTGATAAACCACTCAAAGAATGCTATTTTATACGTGAAAATTATGAGACTGTGTTGCAAAAGAATGTCATATTTCATCACTACGTTGCTTACACAAATGAAATATTTTCCCTTAAGGAAAACATAGGGAATATTTTTCTTTTCTCTTTTCTATCAAGATGCCATTTTCTGCAAGACTGTCTCTTTGAGAAATACCTCTGAATTTACTTGGATTTAAACATGTTTTAAAAAAATAGATTTTGTGTAGCATAATGAATATTCTTGTTGCTTTTTAGTAGTAGCTGCTGCAAAATTATTATCCAAGAAAATATTTTGATTTCTGACAAATCATAGTCATATTGAACTAAGAATTTAGTACTTTCTGTTTCTCCTTCCATTCTCAGTAAGTAGATAATTCACTTTCAGTGTTTCTACCGTGGTCAAAGGAGGAAAATGAGTTTAGGATCTGCTGACTCACTTTGAACCACGAAAAAGCTTTGGGCCAGCCCTTGTACAGATGAAGAAGTTCAGTGAGCACTTTGATGCTTTACTTGGCAGAAGGTATTACTTCTGGTACCCACATGCCCAGGAAGGAGTCCAATTGCACAGGAAGTTTTAGCCGGTTCCTTTTCAGGTAGTCAGAGAAATACTCCTAGAGAAAAAAATCGTGATACCAGAACTCAATTTGCTTTGGAGAAGTTCTGCAGTAGGGAAAAAAGCCACCTTCCTCATCCGAGGAGCTCCAGCTATTTTCTCCTCATTAAGTGTATAATAAACACATTTCTTCAGTTTCTTCCTCATGAAGCTAGAAATAAATAATATGATGTTTATAAGATGTTTTGGAACCATAACTGCCAACCCTTTTTATTTTTACATGGTTGCAAACTTTACTAGCTTTTTAGTAGTCTTCTAAATGTTAATAAATAGCATATGAGAATGTGAAATTATTAATGCCGCTAGCAAGGCCTGAACAGCGTAACTTCAGTAATAGACAGAAATATGTGTTTTCTGTATCCTTATTAAACACTTATACAGTGTTTTTGTTCTTGTTGTTCTAAACAGCTAATGAAGAGAAGTGATTTCACATTGATGTAGTAAGACAGTCTAGAAACCAAGTGTTCATTCTGGTTTCTAGAATCCTGTTATCTAAGAAGTGTACTTTTCCTGAGGATTTATAATGCTTTATGCTGTGTGTTTAAACAGTGATTACCTGTTACCTTAGATTCCTGTGGTGAAAGTCAGGCTGTGACAATCCTGATTTTAAGGAAATTTCAGAA